TGGAGAACACGTGTCTCCCATGATAAAACCCAGAGCAGCACGTCATATTCAAAACTTATATAAATGTTATGTACTCTCTGGATTTGGTGTATGCAGTTCGCCTGACCCCCCCCCGTTGTAACTATTTTTAGAAGGGTCCATCGAAGTCCGGCACCAAATCCGTTCATTTTGATTCTACCTGTCAGGAACCAGCCACTAGACGTCCACCACCGGATGCTTGGAACGATTGGAGTGAAGATGAAGAGGAGGAAGAAGAAGAAGTTAAGGCTCAGGGAGAGCAGACTATAGAGCACAACGACGAAGTGATCTCAAATTCTGTGGCGAAAATTTCGCTTAACGACTCTGGGGCTGCCGCGACGGGTGCCGCAACGAATCATCAGCCTGATTTGCCTACACTGAGCACTGCGGTAAGTGCGCCAACTTTCGTGGCGCGTGCGCTAATTATGTTAAGATGTCGATGCACTGTTCTTATTGAAAAGTACATTTTTCAACGGGCCGAACGACAAAAAACGGTAGCTCTGCGCAAACCTACCTAAGCTCTATTTAACGTATTAGCTGAAGTGATTTTTGAATGTTTGCTGCCTGACGTTATAAGTCCATGTACTTTTACTAGGTGCAGCTGTGTTCATGTCCGATGCCGCACGGCTTCGACCATGTCGCGAACTGTACCGCTCCATATGCGAGGGTCTATGGGAGTATACCCTGAAAAACAGCAATAGGTTATCTTAACGTCCTTGGCATTTGCACATAGCCTACAAGCAATCGCGAAAGGGTCCACCATCAAACGACCATTTTAGCCTTTTGGTGTCCGGTAGGATACTTTTTCTGCGGTCTAATTCCTGCTAATAAGTAATTTAAAAATGGAAGCGGTACAGCACATTAATAGTTTGAATAATATTGCTATTCTACTCTTCACTTATAACCATATAACCGTGCCTAAAAGAAAAAAAATAACTACAATTGCTCTAAAATAGATCAAGTAAGTTTTTTATGGACAATGTGTTCCATTTTTCTCCGACTCCATCAACATCGCTGTGGCATTTTGAGGAGATAACTTATTCTAGGTTTTCAGTTGAGTAAGAGCCTATTTATCACAGACCTTCGTTGTGAAATTTCATTTTCATAGACGGTTAGGCTTCATTATTGGGTGAGTCTACACGCATGACCCAAATCACCATCTGCACGTCCGAGAACTCACAACATTAGTAAAAACTCTCAAGAACTGTCTTATAGCATTAAACTGAAGAATCTATCTTTCGGGCAATTAATCGAACATACTGAAAGCCACACCGTTTACTGTAACTGTGGGGCGTCTCGAAATTCTGCTGGCTCTACCGTCGCCAGAAAACACAGTAATTTTACGGTAGAAGTGTTTTTTTATACGCAGACCACTTGTTAGGCTGATGTTGTTTTATTTGCCCAGCCGTTTGGATGAACACGCGTTGCGTGCCCCAAAAAACTACGTTTGCACATTTAGCACGACTTTGCGTTAAAGGATTAATACTTATAACCCACTCGGTATTGCTGAAGGTTGCTCGTTATTACTTCGGAGTTGTGATCGATGTATTGAGGTGGTTTTCGATTGACTAGAAAGGTTTCTTTGACAAAATTTACTTGCAGGGCCGCCTATATATCCCCCCCACCCATCTGTCTTATGAAATTGGTGGTTATTCAGTTAATTATTGATTGAAGAACGTAAATGAATATGTGATCGTGTTGAAAATGGTCAAACGAAAGTTAACTTAACACTTAGACTGCGACGTGCGCCATATATGGTACACGTCTAGGCCTAAAGTAATGCAG